AACAGGAATGTTATTAACTCCTTTAAGAATAATTGTATTTATTTCTTTTTAACAGCAAGAGTTGCACCAATGCTGCGAATGACACATCTGTCATTTTCCACATAGTGAGCCACACATTTTTATCATGTGTTTTACTTCTGCGAAAGATGATCAGGTTTTTTTGTACCTTTGTGAGAACAAAGACGAAACCCGTTGCATCACGCTCACAGCGCATCATTAATTCTTGGAAAAAACGTGGTTATAAAGTTCTTCTTAACAGCGGTTTTTTTAGCACAATTGAAAACTCAAACGCAGGTGTTAGTTGTTGTTTTTTTCTTTTCATTCAGTATCTAAGAAGAATGACAGTTTCAGTCTCTTTTTCACTAACACTGCCATCGATGTGACTAAGTGTGGCTGATCTTTGGCCCTGTGTGGTGTGAAACAGAAACATGTCCCTTTGTGTCCCTTTTTCCCCCCGTTTACATGAATCCTTTTACTGTGAGAGCGCTGACAACTCAGGGTCACTGTGGTACCGAGCGGTCACTGGTTTCACCTCCCCCTCTTTCTCTCTACACACTCTTTGCTCTCCAGGGTCCCAACAGCTGTTCTCACGTATCATGCAAATAAACTTTCTTGGAACCTTTTTCACACATTCCTACACTTAAAAAAGCATCTGCGTGTTCACATAAATGCAGGTACAAACAGAATTTGATAGTAAAGCAAAATCAAATTCACAGAGAGAGAGAGAGAGGATGGCTGAAAAATGACTGTCTCAACAACATTAAGTAAACTGACAGAAACCTGATGGAGGGAATTTAGTATTTTCAAACAAAACTCTGTCATTATTATGGAGAATAATAACTTTTATAGAGAAAATAATGTGACAAACCACATTTTAGTTCCAGATGTAATTTCAAATCTGGGAAAGTAGCTCAGTAATATATCAGTCACATGAAAATTCCCAGTGGAAAAAAACTAGTCGGTGTGGCTTCCTCTGATTCCTCCTGTGGCTGTGATGTTCCAGTGTCACAGCAACCAAACACAACACATTAGCAGGGTGAGGATATACTTCACAGTGACATTAGACACTGCAGGTGGTCTATCATGAAGAAGTCATCTATAAGGGTCCTACCTTAGTGAGCCAACACTAACACAGGCCAACAGCAGATCAGTTTTCTGCCTTAAACATATTTACATCCCTATGTTGTGCCTCATGAGCCACCGTATTAGCCTCTTTTTTTTTCTTTTTTCCAAAATGGAATGAAAAGAAAAGTGCCAAAGGCACATGCTCTGGCTGGTAGGGATTAATTCCCATTTATCAAATGAACTGAAAATAACCAACACTGCAAGCTAGCAGAACTGAAGCTCTGCGCGATGATTAGCAGGGAATGCTGTAAAACTATCAGCTAGAAAATGAAGAGATAACAGATCTTTGAAATCAAACCTGTGTGCCGTCGAAATGTGAAATCTCTGGGGTGTAATTTGTTACTGCCTTGTTCTAGCCTCTCACCACAGTAGTTGCCGAGCCCTGTGGATGCAGTGTAGGCTGACACTCTGTAGAGACATTTGTGGCCTCAAGAGGATGACGTTTGCTGGTAATGCTGGTAATCCCCTAAAGTTTCCCATAGTGTCACTGTGAGTTTTGCATTTTTGTGCCGGTTAGTGCAATGTTAAAAAAGTACACCTCATAATCCAGGAGCATGTAGAACCAGAATCGTAGAACCACTTTTAGCAGCAATAGCTTGTGTTCTGTGTGACTTTAAAAGTCTGTTGCATTGTTGTAGAGGAATTTTGATCAGCTCTTCTATAGAGCGTTGCTTCAGTTCATTGCACAGTTCTCTTAAGGTCCGGCAAAGCATTTTAATGAGGTTAAGTTCTGAACTTTCATTGCGCCATTGTAGTACCCTGAGTCATTTCCTTTTTAGCCATTCTGTTATAGATTGCTGCTTTTCTTGGGACCATTATCCTGTTGTATGACCAAATGTCAGCCAAGCTTTAGTTTTCTGACAGATCGTCTCACATTTGACTCTAGAATACTTTGGCCGACTCGGTGACAGCAATGTGCAAAACAAGCCCAAATAATCCCTCCTCGCCATCATTCCTTGACACTTAATATGAGGGGTGTTTGTGCTGATATGTTGTGTTTGCTTTTTGCCAAACATGGCTCTTCATTATGGCCAAACATCTCCATTATGGTATTGTCTGTCATTTGAGGACATTGGCCCTCATTTGTTAACAGTGCATATGCACAAACCTCTGTGTGAATAATCAGAAGTGTCTCTGACTATGTAAATTAAGAAATGAAGACCTGGCTAATTAGATTTTATTTGCATAGCACATTTATGACGAAAGTGCAAAAGCTTGAAGGAAGCTTGTATTTTAAGCTTAGATTAGACCAGAGTTCTGGTGCAAGGACACATAAGGCTTTGACTGAAACATTATCAGCAGTAATTGAGAAGCAGGCGTTAATGATCTTGAGGGAGTATATGGGTGCAGCATATCTGCCACATATGCAGATGTGAGACGTAGATGTTGCAGATGTAGACTGCAACTACTACAAGTAGTAATAAAAAGATAAACAAATATATTTTTTCCTTTTTTTTTTTGCCTTTCTTCAGTTGAACTTTCTCCTCATTTCTTGCCTTAGGGGTATTTTTAAATCTACGCCGCATGTATGAGATCAAAACAAACTCCTCTGAACTCCTATGACGTAACCTACGCTATATTCATCACTTTCTCCGTTTCACCTGCAGGTAAACAAGTAAACGTGGCAGGTAGGATGCAGACTGCACAAGCCTGCTGGTTCAGAATGATTACAGTGTGGTAAGATCAAAATAGGCCGGTGCGTATGTTTCATAAATCCGAGTGTCATGTTGTGTACGCACTTGTGGGGGACAGGTTAAAAGCTTTCCACGCACATTATGGTAAATAAGTGCTTGTGGTTTGCTCACATGCATCTTTGCGAGCTTTAGTCGTGCTGCCATGTTGTTTTATGAGAGAAGAGGCTTTCTCTATGTAGCCCTTCCAGCCACTTCTTCAGTCTTTTTCTAATTGTACTATTGTGAGTTTTAATATTTAACATGCTAGCCGCTTCCTGTAAAATCTGAAACGTAGCTCTTGGGGTTTGTATTTTTTAAGTTTCTCTGAGGTTTGACCTTTGGGGTGAATTTGCTGGGACATCCACTCCTAGGAGGTCTGTGGAGCACACAGCTGAATGCTCCAGAGCAGCAATCTTCCTTAACCTCTGCGTTTATAGAGGTGCTTACACTTGTTGATGATCAGTTAATCAAGTGTATTTGATTGGCAGCACCTGGCTGCTAGTCGTGACCTCATTTATATTGGAAGTAGTGTAGTTTTTCTTAGGACTGCATAAAGTCCTGTGGAAACTTCCCCTTTCACATAAATTTAAATAGTTAGCATCATCATATGTTCTCCCCTGGGCAATCATCTCAGAAGAAGCAAGCAGTTAGCTTGGCGGCTATTCGTTTTTCAGTTTTTATGTGGAAACTGGATATTCTCTCTGGTCAGTCTGAGAGGGCACGTAGTTGTACGTATACTAGGAGGAATGGAAGGAGTAAGCAACCTCATATTTTTACTGGTCGTAACACGGCAGCGTTTATTTTAAGTATTTGAAGTGCATCTTCACAATATGGGACCTTCATCAAGTCTGCAATTAGCAGAGTTTGCTACTTACAGTCTGCACAGTTTATTGTTAAGTATTTGTTCTGGCACAAATTCTTGACATTAAAAGCCAATAAAAGCCTTCTGTTAGCAAGTCAGTTATTCAAACCTTCATTTTGTTATTAGCTGTTAACAAAAGATTCTCAGTACAAGTTGACCACAAAGCAGATGCTTTCTTAAAGTTAATGCCTACTTGTCCAGTAAATCTGTTCCCACTTTATCGGAGCATGCTTTTATTCAGGGGAAACATTGCATGCCCTCAGCTCAAAATAACACAAATGCAGAGTGCAACACAGAGGCCAGACTCTTTAAATACTTGAGGTTTGATGAAACGTCAGAATCTCATCAAAGAGCTTCCATCCGACAGTTTGTGACAATGATCCAACAGCTGTCCATGTAGGCTCAGCTGCTACTTGTCCTCAAAGTCTACCTCTGATGCGATCCAAGTCCCTGGGTCCTTTCTGCAACCTCAGAAAGTTCCATGTTATCAGTTCTCTAGGGGTGGGGGGAGTAGAAGGTCTAGAGCCTGGTTACCCTTAAAACTTGCCATCTCTAATCAGAATAGCTAAGAGGTTGCTCTGCTCCCACAGTTCTGCCAGGGATTGAGAAGCACGCTTACTGTGAGTGCTGGCCATTCTGTGGCCTTTCATTAATACTGCCTGCCATCTGAGAGCAGCTCAGAGAGAGCTTGTTGCTGAGCAGATAAAGATAGGGGTGAGTATAAACACTAAACAGAGGTTAGGCACATGAGCTTTGATGGTTGCGATTGGTGGTCTTATCTGGAGTGGGACGCCATCGTGTGATCCCCTCCCACCCCCCACATCTTATGCGAAATAGAGGTTGAGCAGGCACACTTGCCATTCAGAAACATTTGCAAGATTCCATACAGTCCTCAAGTGCAGAGATTTATGACAGGAAAACAGTCAATGTATGTCCAGTGTTTGGCTGGCTGCATTCTCTACATGGAGCACCTTTCATTAAACGTTTGACACCATGCTTATAAAGTCCTCAGGCGACTGAAGCTGGTTGTTTCCTTTTTGCCGTTGCTGTTAATATGAGCTTTAACAAGGCGTTATTCACGCAAGAGAGTAAAAATATCGTCAGAATTGTGACACCTCCACCTCCTGAGCACACTTGCAGAGGAGATAATACACCCATCATTCAAACAGGTTTGAACACGATATGTTGGTGGTGGATTTAACACGTGGCCTGGCTATTCCAGGACAATCTGACTACCTCAACTGGCACAAAGTTGCTTTATTCATTTACCACTCTTGGCTTTTGGATGACCCTTCCCATCCACACATTCAACTCCTTCAGTTCCTTTTTTTTTTTTTTTCACCCCTCATTCTGTGAGAATTTATTTTGAAACTTGGCACTAATCAACCTGTAACTGTCCACTGCTTTGCAACACCTCCCTAAAAATAGTCCCCACTAATCCTCAGGTCCCCTCTGAGAAGTACGGCACATTACCAGGGATTGACTGACAGATCAGCTGCACAAAATGGCAGAAATCTTATCATTATTATTAATGGAAAAAATATAGAGATTTTTAAAATGGGGACATTTCAGTTTGTGTCCTCTTTTGACACACTGCAGTAATAAAGTTTAAAGCCTGAAAACAGAGAAGTCAAATGTGCAGTCCATGCTGCGGTGCTGCACCCTCTTGTGGGGTCGATGAATACAGCTTTTAGCAGCAGACTCATTTGGACAACTTTAGGAACAACAAAGTGAACTAATGAGGAGATGTGGTTGAAGTTAACATCCTGCTCATGCAAGTCAACTGTCTTGCAGATTAAAGCTGTGTCGTATACGAGCTAAAGATGTGTGTTATTTAACACGTTTTAAAAAAAGTTTGAAGCAGTGACGCAGCTGTAACTGCAAAAACTGTTGCTTTAAGAAAGTTTGCGAGCATTAGCTTGACTTAAGAGGCAATTTGTAGCAATAATGAAACCGTAAGAAAAGCAGTTCCCAAAAAAACTTCGGTGTTTTATCAAACAGTTTGAAAAAAATAGATATTTTTTTACTTGCATTAAATCTTGATCAGCTACTCCTTAATCATGAATCAGAGAGTTTTCCGTCTTTGGCTTTCGGTTTCATTTTGGTGACAGTTTGGCTGTATTTACCATAGTGATTTCATCTTATGTAGCCCACTGGGGGTCTCTGTTACAGTTTCAAGTTGAAAATCTAATCCCTCATTCTACCAAGGTTAGAACATAGTCACATAATTTATATGATCAGCGTGGCATGTTTTCACGTGTGGTAGAAGGAGGCATAAATTGTGTTTGTGTGCACTTCAGCTGCCTACAGGGCTGCAAACACAGCGTGCCAGATCTCCCACAGGCCTGCAGAATATAGTGAAAGAGGGCCAGCAGATAGAGTGGCATGTACCCCCTGTTGAGATTTTGTAAAAGGAGACCCAAAGAGAAATGGACAGCTGAACCAACTTGCATGCCTAGCACATTAGCTGCACAGACTGTAAGGCTTGTGGTCCCGCTTAGATGTCGGTTTTCCTTTGCTTAGCATGTGCTCTCTTTTTACTTTCAGTAACAGTGGGCCACTGTTGAGCGTCTGAAGTAAACAAAGCAAATGAAAGTAGAAAACTATTCAACTGATAACAAATGAACTATTTCTTAAGTGTACTAATCTGAATCAGGCTAAGAATAATCTCACAATGCATCAAATCCTTAAACGGTTGGGACATAGGACGATTAGAACAGAGACTGGACCACTTGTCTTTAATAAGACTTGAGATATTCCCACTGGCCTTACATCGCACATCAAAATATATCTATAGCATATACACGCGCCAGAATTTCAAATGAGAAAAAAAAAAGTCATGCTTGCACATGTGGGGGAGGGAAACGGCTTCAATTGTTAAATAGTGGAGGAGATCTCCGTTTACAGACATTTGACCTTTGATGACTTACAGTTTTTTAATTGTAAAGGTTGCAGATTTATTATTACATCCAGTTATGCATACAATCAATCATAGCTGAGGTTTAGACATGAACCAACAGTATGTTTACACAAAGTAACAAGCCATTCTTTGTGACGTTTAATTTCAGATCTTCTGATTTCTCAGTCTACCTTTTTCAAAAACCGGTACAGGTAGTTTTGTACAAACCAGGATGTACAGTATCTGGGTTTTATTCATATCTACTCATGATAGAGTAGCATGAAATGACTCCCTTTCAAACAGCTTTAATCCACTGATCCAACCTTCCTTTTCCCGATACGTAAAGTTCATTTACATTATACACAAAGTTGTACCCAGTCTTAATTTTTTTCTTTTAGTTAAATAACTAAAGAGCAAAGAAAACAGTTCTTTTTCCGTATACTGTAATCATTACTCAGCTGTACTATAATGTACAAAGGATGATACTGTTGAGTAGCAAGGTGCATGGAATCGGTGCTGCAAAGAGTTTGATGAACGATAGCAACGGTGCCGTATGCGGCAACACCTTTCATCCTGTTCTGTCAGTTGTTTTGTCGTCATCTTCTTCTGTGACCCACTTTATCTTCGGAGGGAAGTATGCTTGCTTTTTTTTGATTGGCACAGGTCACAGGGCTCGCAATGCGAGCTTTGGCAGGACTAGGAAAGGTCAGTGGCCTAAGGCAACAAGCACTTCAGCGCTGGAATATGTCACAGGACCTCTGTGAATGAGGCAGAGAGAAAAGTGTTAAAGGCCAGATGGAGCAGCAGTCATACAAGCTTAATGAACATGCTAACAGACAAATTAAACTATATATTCAACCTTGTTGAAGTGCGTAATGGCAAGGTCTGCAAACCTCCAACCTGGTGACAATGATAAATGCAAAAGGATGCAAAACATGTTGCAATTGGAAGGCCCATAAACCTTTATTGTTGTCTTTACATGCAGCAAACAGAAAGCTCGCATGACTCAAAGAAACGAGATGGGAATGTTACTGTTAACAGCGGCTACCATATAAAAACTCGATCTGACTGACAATGCCACATGTGGGACCGATGAGGGCCATATCCTCAACAAGTATGAACATTCAAATAAACCCTGGAAGCATGCCTCAAAATAAACCGGTCTCCTGAGAAACTGCTGTGTAAAATTAAATCAGTCTGACATACTAAAAGTCATCTCACATATCCAGATTTACAAGAGTGCATATAAGAAGTGAGAATGTTCCCTTTTTAATTACACACTTACCAGAAGTATGCAGTAGTTAAAAAAAAGGTAGTGAAATATTCATTAAAGTAGGGGCAAACAGAGGTAATCGTTCTTTTTGGTTTACATAGTATTTCTGATTGCTGGCTTGCTTTCAGGATAACAGGTGAAAGTTAGGATCTAGCAGCAACGGGGAGGACAGGGTGCTGCTGACGTTGCTGCTGGGAAGAGGATGAATGAGGAATCATATGAAGCTTAATTACTCCAGAGTCCAGTTTCTAACCCCTGGCAGTGAAGCACTTGTGGATAGGGTCTCATCACCTCTGTCATTCTTGGAATTCCTCACTGGGTCCCGGTCCAAGTCAGTGAGACACTTTGAATAAAAGCTGTCAACAGTATAAAGATACCCTCCTTCTCAGCACCCTTCCCAACACTATTTCTTTTATATCCCGTCTCCACCCCCTTGTGAGTGTAGGTATTCTCTCCATGCCACACCTTCCTCTCCTCAGGGGGGACTCGCTTTCACCGGGGTGATGACTTGCACCTTATATTAAGTACACATTCAGGTTCTCTTGCTCCGTGCCAAGGACAATAACCCCATTTATGGTACCTTGTACAGCAGTTTTCAAATTGGGTGATGGGAACTAGGTCGATGCAGATGAATCATGCCTGAATCTGCATAATTTTCATTGGAGATATATTTAGATTTAGTTTTTACCTCTGTCAATAAAACCTCATCTTTTATTTTACAATCCTGAACTCTAGCCTGAACGAGGACTTAAAAAGTTAACTAGAAGGAGAGAAGTGGACTCTCATTACAAAGCACAGCCAGACCTTTTCAGCATGGGTCAGCCAGTTGTGGAAAACACTCCATCAATATCTCATTTCAACAGTGGTGGAACGATTGCTATTATAGCTTTTTCCCCTGCATCATTTCATCTATTCTATTTATATTTTCATGAATCATTTCAGATTGTGTTAAGTAAATTGTCTTTTACATGTTTGTGTTACAAATGTTTGCGCTGTTGTCACTTGTGTATATTAAAGCAGTTTGTAATTCTGTACCCGCAGCATGCTGAGGCTTCATTGGGCCTGCCTTTTTCATGAATGACTCCTCGCTTTCAAAAGAAAGGATGGGCTCTGTGGGCATGCTGGTCTCAGACTTGTCCAAGGCTCCGTTAGTGGAGTTGCCGTGATTTGTGAGATGGATGATGTCTTCCAAGTGGACAGTGTCTTCTTTTGTCGAAAGACCGTTTTCAAGCTTCGTAGCCTGGACCCCATTAACTGCTTGGATTGAGAGGCTGTTGGAGAGGAAGACAAATCATGGTATGGTTCTAGTCAGGATGGGTCCGAATGACTCATAAAACAAATGAGTCATCCCACCACAATAGGAGGATTCTTTTTTTTTTTTTAAATGGTCCCAAGAAGCATGATCAAATGCAAAGAGTAAACATTTTTAAATACCAAATCATTCTCCCACTGTTATAACTGTTTACTGTTGGCCAGAATCATGGGGCTTCTTGTGTTTTCTCTTGAGGTTTACAGCAACGTGAACCTCCTGCTGATTTGATTCGTTGTCAACTCCCAGCTTGGTCTCCTGGCACAAGTTTTGTGCTGTTCATGGTGGTCTTGCATCAATGTGCACACAAAGAAGAAACGAAAGAAGCTTTAGTTTTACCTTTCCTTGACATCGGCCTGTCCGTTTTCTGTTTTGTTGTTGGGAATGCCGACCTCAGGCGTTGGCTGGTAGTCAGCAGATGCTAGAGAGAACAAAGCAATACAGTCATTAAGTGTGACCACAGAGATAAAACATCCCACCCCACACCGTGTGTTAACCCTGAGATGTGTCAGGCTAACCTCAACACACACACGTGTGCATCCTCTTTTTACTCTCTTAAGGAGAATCAGCACTTTTGGTGCTTTTCAACTGTTGGTGATAGTACCCACATTTTTTCTGCGTCGCAGTAACAGGAGACTAGTGTATCTGTTAGTAGTTATTTTTTATCGTCTTATTAGCTCCTATTACTGAGCTGGTACTTTCCTGGTATAGGAGGATATCTGATTAACGTAGGTGTACTGCATTTGATTAAACACATGCATGCTGCAGCTGCAACCACCATTAAAATAAATAAACATTAGCACTGTCAAACTAACTGTTAGAACCAAACACAGAAAAAAGAACTAACATTGAAGACCAGGCTTTATCTAGCCTACATGACTCTCTACAGAATAATATATTTGCAAGCAATCCTGATCTTGCTGCTAAATATCCAAAACACTGTAAAGCAACATAGAGAAAATGATCAGGCTGGACCATAATGCTAAGTAAATAAAAGACATTTTTATTTTCTTTTGACATTGCACACCAGCTGCTAACTTCAGAGTCTTAATAGCTGTGGAGAAACACCTCCCGAGTGGGTACTCAACCCCCAAATCTGCATCCTTTTCAAAACGTTCACAATAAAATGCCAAACTCTAGTCATCATTTTCAAATGGTCGTTTAAACATTTGGGTTCGAACATTGAGGTGCAGACGTCCAGTTTTCTGACCTCATGTATATCATAAAACGAAGACATTCACACTCACACATGACGAACTAAAAGGCATTTCTTCCAGGTCTCAATCCACTTAATGGCTCGCTAGTGTCTCCTTGTAATGTGAAATTTGTGAAATTTGACACAAACTGCATTTCCATCTTACTCATTTATAACGTGTGATGTTAAAATTTCGCTAGTAAGGATATTGTTAAGTAGGGAGAGAGTAGTTTATGTCTGAAAACTTTGCAGCAACACATGTATCACTGTTTTATTCAAAGTCTCTCTAATGAATGTAGACTGCTGCAGGCTGTTGCCATAAGCTGACTCTTCCACTCAATTCTCCTCAGTCCGAGGGATTGGACAACAAACTAAGGCCACATGGGTCCTATTCTGCAAAGAGCAACTCCAGCTGTACAGGATATGAGGGGAAATGTATAATAGGCCTTTTAAAAGTGCATCCCTCTCTGAATCTTACTCACAGGGGAACTGATAACAAGCATATGACATATCTGTGCTTTGTTTTGTGCAAGCTATGGAAGAGGTAAAAGAGGTAGACTGATATTTATGTGTACATCAGTGGAAAGTATTTTATAGACGCCAGTAGAATCTACCAAAATTGAGTTCTTTTGAGTTTAATCGAAGCAGTAAAAGTCTAAGAGTATTCTGAGCACCAGCTGGCCAGAAGACGTCCACTTTGTTTTAAATCCCTTCCTAGATAACACATTAATGGGAGATGAGTTAAGACAATTATCCTTTGTAATTCAAGCAGATTAAAGGCTAGTAGTGGGTAATGATTTCACTCAGGGATGTTTTGTAAAAGGCTGAGGGGAAGTCCAGACTGATGCTTGGCTTACCTTTGCTACTCTCTGCCTGTTTGTCATTGACATGTTCGACTGGGGAGGACTTTGTCTCTTTCTGTGAAAGTGGGAGAGAATTTCAGTCACTTTTACAGCAAAACTAAGTTTTATTTTTTCAATTTGTAAAAGAAGTTTTGGTTTTTTTAAATGTACCTTGTCACTTCCATCTGTCTTCCGTGTCCTCTTCATGATCTCCTCCAGTCGCTACAAAAGGAAGACAAAATGAATAAATAAAGGAATAAAACAGATAATACCCCACAAGGAACCAGATGCTAATAAGCAGACGTACATTTTCTGTGAACTGGTGGACAACAACGCAATGATACTGGCACTTGTGTTATATCATATTACCAGTAAAACATAGGCTTCATGCAACATCTATAAAAAATATTTGGTTTGACTTGATGAAAATTTGGCTACGCTTATTCGGCTGGACTAGACCACACACCTTGCCGAATTGTTTAGATAGAAGCTAAGGGTTCAACTTTCCCTTTTCATTAGTTCTTTAAAGCAGTCAGGTTATTATGCTCAAAATAAACTGAAGCACATCGGGTGGTGGGTTAGACTAATGAGGGTAAAAACGCTGTTGGTGTACTGAGCTGAAACAATAGTGAATACTGAACAACAGGAAACACAGAAAGGGTAAGCGTGTGCTACACTGTGATATAGAGAACGCTGCATGGGTAATTTGTATGCACAGTGGTTTGAACAACATGAAAATTTTATTTGAGGACACAGCTAGCCTGGGACAGCTAGATCATAGCTGCAGCTGCCACTCATAAAAGTGAGACATTTTTAAGATCCAAGATCATATATGGAGCACTCACACGCTCACAGCTTTGGTATCTAGTTTGGCATCAAAATGTCTGTTTCAGGAGTAAAGAGTTGTTGTGCTGCTCGAGGTACCTATAAACACCTGTGCTGAGGTAATAAGACTGAGTCACTTAGGTTTGGTAGAGGACTGTAAAAGGAGTTTTGTGTAGTGCGACTGCGGTGCAAGTCTTTGGGGCAGAGGACATGCTGTTCTTGTGGGCTAATTCCTGCCAACAGCAAAACTTCAGCTGGCGGAGCTAGGCCTGACACGCCTAGATAACAGCCTTTCACACATGGAGAGAAGATGAGGAGAGGGAAAGAAAGGCTTAGATAGCCTGCAGAGGCACGATCTTATGTGTGTGATATACTTGAATATATGTTCACCAAAGGCCCAGGTATCAGTACACATGAGAAAGGATCCACACACAGATGACTGACACAGCTAGCTCGCTGTTATTAGTTTTATATATAGCTTAATGCTCATTCACATTGTAAGCCCTATTAAATCATGGCATGCAGACAGCCGATCCAGGATAAGCCAAAAAACATCATTCATCTTGTTTCAGGGATTCAACTTTCTGCGTTTGTCATGTAAAAAGGGCCGACCTCAGGATGAATGTATCTTGGAATATACCACCACCGGGGGAGGAGAGCTTTTGTAAACCGACTACAAAATTGATTTTGGCATTACTCTGTATCGTGCAAGAGAACATTTTCCTCTTTTAAATCAGCCACTGTTTGGAGATGCTGTATTTCGAAAGGAAAAGTTCAACTCCAAATCGAATGTACTTGCATGTAATGCTACTGATGCATTCAGATTGTTATGTCTTGTCATCAATATAAAGGAAAACGATGGCACATGCCTTGAGGTTTTCAAAGTGCCAACAAATGCGTTTTAAAAACTCAGTAGCAATGTCTCCTTCCAGAAATAATGACTTTTAAACATTGTTGTGAGCAATTTCAACTTCTTTTCATCGTCTGCATTTGGAAGGAAACCAAACATGCAGCACAGCTGAGTATGGACACCGTTAATGTTTTCATCTGGTCTTGCTGCCACTAGCATGAGACTGTTATCATAGGCACATGGACACTTTCTTCTGCAGAATGATATCTCAGTGGAGCTACGTGAAACTACTCACAAGTTGATTTATTTATTTATTAGCCACTTTGTCATGATTGCTGTAAAGAGACAATCACTTCTGAGTTTCTCACATGTATTGCATATATTGAGCACCAAGCACGAGTGTTATTTAGTTCAGTTATATTCAAAAGAAGACAGACATTTTTACAATCTACTACACAATCCAGCTCCCACCAAAAATAGATAAACGGCACTACAGGACAGTTAGACAAAAAAACAACTTTGGACTTTAAAAAAAAAAATTATTCCAAAAAAATCCAAGCTGGGATATTTTTGCATTTATGATCCTTTACAACCCATAAATATCCATTTCCTTTTTGGAATTCAGTTACTTGGCTGAAAGAAACAACACTGGCAGGACAGATGTATAGCCCTACCTTTTTCCTCTCCAGCCTCTCCTGCTCCTCCTTCTGGAAGTGTTTCTCCCTCTCCAGGCGCTGCTTCTCCGCCTCCTCCCGAGCTCTAGCCTCAGCCTCCTCTTTCTGAAACACACACAAGCAAAAATCCAACCACAACTTTAATGGCAGCAGAAGAGGGGAAAAAACATCAGCCAAAATAACATGCCTTTTACGTAACAAGGGTGTGGTTGCTCCCTGCAATTATTGTCTACGACCACAAAAGGGATATTTTTCTGTACCTTTGAGCCAAAAGGATCTATTTTCAACATTTACAGCTTCATGGGGGCGATTCAAAGTGAAAGACAACACTTAAGTCTTTGCATAATTCTACTGAAACGTGTTTGACCACAAATGCCACTTCTATGACAAACCACAAGGGGGAGACAAAGCGCCCTGATCTGATAGCAACGTACATACTGCAGTGACACAATTAATCACGACCCCAGAATAATCGATCACTCTGATGAATGGCCACATTCTGTTTTCTGCTTATCAAGCGTCATTGTCATCTGGTTCTCAACAACCACTTCCGCAAACACAAGAAGAATCAATACTGTTCGGGCGGATTATCTGGCAGACTGAAAGGTTAAAGGGGCCACATTCAGTGTCGCTCCATGTTCACCAGATCAGATTAATATTTACCTTTAAAAGACAACAACATCCCAAAATAGGTGACTGGGTTTGTAGGATGAACATGATATCAGACAAGGTCAATGTGAGCAGCACCTGAAAGGGTCTCATTGTTTTCCGTGTACGTTTTGGCATGGTGGGAAGAGTGGAATGATGTGGCAATACAGTGAGTTATCAGCTAGTTATGACTGTTGTCCTGTTTTATGCTCGTCTAACTAACCAGACCTGATGAGTGACTACAAGACTCCTTTAAATATACTTGATACTCTTCTGGAAACCAGGGGCAGGTTGACAGCATACCTGTTTCTGCAGCCGTAAATTCTCCTCCTGCTCAGCTTTGGCCCTTTCCTGAGCCTCCTTCTCCTCTTGCAGCCTCTTTGCTTCATCCCTCTTCCTCTGCTCCTCAGCCATGGCCCGTGCCTCCTCCTCCCTGCGTTGTCTCTCCTCTGCTTCCCTCGCTAAGCGTTCCTCTCTCAGGATCCTGAAGTGTTTGAATACAAGGTTGAGATAAGATTTTTTTTTTAGTTAACCATAAAGTCTCTTGAGATTAAAATCTCTTTTTCAAAGACATTTTATCTACAAAGTCGTCTGCCAAATGCTCCGAATGTCATAAACAATTTAAATTGATTTACTCGTAGTGTAAGCAGTGTGAACGAGAAAGGAAACAATTGGAATTAAGAGTGCCGAAAAAAGATCAAATCAGTTTCCAGGGAGTAAATAGTTACTTGCTGTGGTCAAAATCAAAAATGGTTACACATCTGGAGATAATGCAGAGTCATTCATCTTGAATATGCTTGGATAGTCCATCCAGCCCTTCATGATTTGCCTTACATGTAACCATTTACACAGAATTTGCCCAGAAAATAGCTAAATGTCCAGAGTGGGTTTATTCTGCTGCATAAACAACTACTACTCTATATCTACAGCTTCTTCCTCACAATGATATGCAAAATGTTGTTTTTGCCCAAGTATTTTTTAATATTTATTCCCACTTATAACCTTTTGTACAGGTTTTGGCATAGCTGACAAGAAAAGGAGAATATTACATAGTTCAAAAACTTCCCACAGCTTACAGGAGTTGCATAGTCACCGTTTTGTCTTTGCATGCATTTTAAAAACCAGCTGACCTCTCTTTCTCTTCCTGTTCGCGGCGTTCCTGCTCTTCCCTCTCCCTCTGCTCTCGGGCCTGTCGGCGTTTCTCTGCCAGAATACGAGCCGCCTCTTCTGGGTCATTCGTGCCTGCCATGGGCTTAGCGGATGGAGAGGGTGCAGGTGACACTGCACGCACAGAGGGAGAGGAATTGGCTGGCTCGGGCAAGGAGGAAATGGCGCTGGCTGTGACTGGTGTGCCTGATGCATTGGCAGTAGCTGAGGATACAACAATGGCAGGAGCCACAGGGGAACCTAAAAGAAATAACAGTATTGTAAGCGGAGAGTCACAGAAATGTATTTGCTTTCATAAAGAGATGCCTGTTAATTATTATTAAACTGTAAACAACCACAGCCATTCACCCTACAAATGCAGTAATTATATATTTAAGACTGATTAGCACAGCCTCTTAGCTTTGTGCGAGAGAAGACCCCGACCACGATCTCTGTGTGGCTCATTCAGTGTGCGCCCTTTATTTCCATGACTAATTATGCTTGACGGTAATCTTTGACCACTGTTTCAATTTCACTGCATGTGTTTTTCTGTTCAGTCACAGGCAGAGGGAATCTCTTTGGGAAGACAATAAAAATAGAGAGAAGCTGTTCATAATTGAACTATGTCACCAGTCTGCCACAGAGAGACAGAGTCTACCATCCAAACTCACTTTGGACAAATCATTTCACTAACTGCTTGAATTGATTTGAAATTAATTATAGTCCTGTCTGAAGGACATGATTATCACTCCTTTTTGTACTCACTCTTTTTTTCTTCTGGGGTGGCTGGCCTATGGGGCTGTCTCACTCTCTCAAGAGGGGCAGGTGAAGAGGTCCGGTGGTCTATCCTGGCAGGGGTCCTGGCTCTTTTGGGCCGGGCCTTCGGGGTTGACGGGCTTCCGCGTGCTGACGGAGGCTTGGGGGAGGCAGCAGGGCTGGGAGAGGCAGTTCTGCCCTTGGGTGTGGCAGGGGACGCTGGCCGTTGTCTTGATAAAGGACTAGGACTGGAAAAAAGTAAAAACAAAAGCTGAAGGATGGAAAATTGTGTCAACAGTTCTCAGCGTTGTTCTCTCGTACCACATTATTTATTTAGACCTGGCCTGAAATGCTTAAAATGGCACATGTCCTTAAGAAACTCTGACATCGGCACAGGATCTCAGCAGTCAAAGCACTCAAACATTGCATCATGCCTTATAGTGCATTATCAGTTAGCATCCCAGCAATGCAGCACTTGGAGGAACAACATCCATTATGCGGAAGATTTTTTCCCCCCTTGAGCCTCTGGCGCTGACTGCTCTGCCAAGCTCTTTGCTGCCTTTTTGTTGAGTCAAAAGAAATTGATTTTTTTTTTCTTCTTTTCTATCCCTTCTGCCATGGATGTCATTTATTCTGGGACCAGGGGATTAGAGGGTAAATTCTTGGGTATTCACTCAATGCATATGCTGAAGCAATGCATGAAATGTGAAGTCTTTGCAGCACAGACCCAAACCAACCCAGTCATTGACCAGAAACAGGCTGCAGGTCAGGTGCATCCAAGGCTAATCTGGTTTACAATGCAGTTTTTGTTTCTGCGTATTTAAAAGAGTAAAAAGGGTGCGTTATTATAACTTAGATTTCTTAACTGGTTCTAAGGTTATGGAATAATGTAAACTTTAAACTGAGATGGTAGCTTTGACATTTTGACTTTACATGGGGGTTGGAGCTTTTTGCTAGGTTTCCCAGAGGCCAGACATTTATTGAAAATGTTTAGCATTGAACTCAGGTTTCTGTGATTTATTTTTGTGTATATGTGCCAAATGTGGATGCTTCCACGCATGCACTACATGGTCCAGGGCCTGGATTAACTGGTTAGCAACATCTGAACTTTAGTAGTATATATGGTGAATATTTTAATCCACCGATAAAATAAATAAGAATAAGAATATATGAAATTGGCCACCAAATATGCTTAACTCGAGACTGTTGCTGATATGCTGACTATCCAAGAAAACTCTACTGTAAATAAGTTGCATGCTAGCATGCTATCCCCTCACTGATTTCTATATAGGTATGCTATACAGTCTGTTGAGTCTTTATTGTTAGCTTCATTTTGTCTTTCGTTTTTGTAATTTCACTGGATTATTCTTCATCATAAGTTATTGATAGCACCAGTTAGATGATTAGATGATTTACTAACAGAAGATTGATCTGTGAGCTGATATCTGACTAAAATGTGAAAAGCTTAAATTTCTCTGTTCGACTCAAAACTTGTTGATATTCTTTTGACATTTTGTAACTAAATGGAATAAAAATGTTGCACTGCAGCCATAAAATATATATAACTCACAGTACTGATAGTGGTGAAATATTCAAGCCAATATTAAATCTGTTAAGTGTTTTACCTTGGATCAGGTCTATGTCTCATACTAGGTAGAGACTGTCTCTTCTTCAGCACTTTTTCTTTAGTGATGGCACTTTTTTCCATTTCATTCTCCCTTTCTTTGTCTTTCTTTTCCTTCTTGTTTTTATCCATCTGTATAAAGATGGAAAATATCAACATGCAAAGCAAAAAGAAGCAGATTTGAAACGGCATATAGATTATATAATAATGTCATATAGGTAATTATGCAGACTTACAGGTGTGGAGCTCCGCCTGCGTTGACGCTGGGTGATATCTGGTGAGCTGGACGTCACCCTCCAGCGGTCAGAGCAGCGGTGGTGCGGCTGATGGCCACACAGGGTCAACGGACTTGCAGAGGCTGAACGAGGGCAGAGAGGAGAGTCTAAAGAACAGAGCAACAAATAATTAAGCCTTGCCAACATTTATATACTAATAGTATTCACTAAATTCACACTGACGGCAACAACTCATTTGAGGCTTTTAAAAAAAGAAGAAAACTTACGACCGTCTTTTCCATTTGTGAGGACACTAGCAGCACTGCGGCTCCGGGCGAGGAAAGAAAGAGTTGGTGTCATCAGCCGGTCGACTATGCTGCTCTCCCACGGACTCAACGCAAGGCTGCGCGCTGCAAGAAGGAAAAATAAAATAATTCAATTATCTCCAAAGATACATGATAATGGGATGCCGTGAACCAGAGGAAGCTTTGTTATATCTCAGCTCACATTCGTGGTTAAACGGGAAATGTTACTCCTCACCCAACACCAAATGTAAAGTGTAGAAGTGTAGTGTAGAACTGCATCTGCAATCCAGAAGAACCATACAATAAACCAATAAAACACCAGTACCACTTAAAGAAGAAAAATAGGCCAGTATATGTGTCCACTGTAACCTTGACCTGCATGGGTATGACCGAGGAGAAGAGGGGTTATTGGTAATTCTTTTGTAGACAGCCTTGTGCACAAACGGCGAAGAAGCAGAATCCTGCGTCTCATTTGGGTGTAAGATGTAGAATGAGTAAGGTTTGGGAGTTTTAACTGTGACGGGAAAAAAGACAAGTGAGGAAGTTACCCGTCGATTTTTTTTCTACCAGTACAGAGGAACAGTACCTGCTCCGAGGAGAATACATTAAGAAAATGCTGACTCACTGACTAACTTTCTTCTCTGACTGTGTAGAAGTATGCAGTGGCCTTGTTAACTGTAGAGCTATAAAAAGCTATACTCATCTTAAGCTTGGAGACACAAACTCGATTTAAAGAAATCAACAAAAACCAATTAAATCAATAAAAACATTTAAGACAAAAAGACGGCTGTGATTCAGTACGTTATGGTGACAAATGGACACAAAAGGACTGGGCACATCAGGAATGAAAAGGCCATCACCACACAATTAACCAACCAAAGGACAGTAAAACGCCACTAGGAATACTCCCATATCAAAATATGAGCATGCAGAGCATGTCAAACAAAACCACAACCCAAAGTTTGGAATGAAAAAAAAACAACTTGTGATTTTTGGAAGATGGAAATGGGTCAAATATCAACCATCAAGCAAGAAGAGGATTGAAATCAAAGGGGAAGAAGTAACTGAAAAAAGACAATGATGGACGGGTTCGGTAGTGCTGGCAGTGTCAGAATGATGGACATTTAAAACAGGAGCGGGGCATTCCAGATGTAGCCTTACTTCTGTTGGGCGAGTTCCAGAGCGTGGCGGAGGACTTGGAGAGTCGCTTGTTTATAACAGAGTCCACGTGTTTGGGCAGGTTGACCGTTGAAACAGAGCATCTGCCTAAGAAGCCAAGAGAGCGCCACACAGATGTTCACACAGGTCACATGGTTTGAGAAGAAGATGTGGAGCTTGTGTGACGTCATGGGCTATGCTGAGGTGATGCCTTTACAAATTTATACCCACTCACTGTAAAGGCAACGACACCAAGTGTAATCCAACCCAATCCAAGGCTATTCTTGTGTGCTGACCGCACAATACCATCCATTGATTACAAACATCCACACAGGAAGAGATCTGTTCACCTCTGCAAGCCTTCAAGTGTACAGACAGACCACCCGTGGCACAAAACATGCATTTAAAGAATGATATTTCTTTGTGGATACTCCTAACAAAGTGTCACATAACCAAACTCTAACTGTACTATAGCACAGTATTATTACTCTTACAATCAGATATTGTTTCTGCGAGCTCAATGAAGTGGAAGTGAAAGAAATATTATTTTTGTTTTGCTTCTTCTTGTTTCTTTTCCAAATAACTCTGTACCACTTCCTCTGCACAGTTTCTATCAGCACAATTTTGTTGGTGAGCAAGTAACTCCAGTAAAACTACCACCAGTGATGTTTGTGGATTCTTCAACGTAACCTGGACATGACTTCAATTTAAAAAGTTATGTTAATTTTTAGGTGTTAAGAACACATACACTAAATTTGATACAACTTATAAGCACTCAGCCTCAATTTATATAATCTAGTGCAAACAACTCTCATAGCTACATTAACTAACTAAGGAAATATCTGCATTTATCTACTATTGCAAGTCAAATATAGAAGGAACCTTTAAAAGCCGCCTCTTCAGGCCACTAAAACAAACCCAGTGAAAAGAATGGCACATTAAATACAACCCTGACAAGGAAACATGTGATGGGAAGTGGCTACAGGGAAATGTAAACTAATTTCAAAGCTGCTGACGTAAACTGGCGCTTCAAAAGAGCAACCATCCATGTGCAATACTTGTATCTGTCCCAATTTCATATCCCTTAAACACAGTCCAATCGATGGATAACCTTCTCTTTCTCCAAATGACTTGGACAATTTAGTGGTCATGGAGGTGCAGCATTAAAGTCGGCTGAGCATGACTGTGGGTTTAAACACACAAATCCAGCACATGATGCAGTATGCTCTTTGATTGAGGCTAAGATGTATACATCTGAGCATTTCCAAAGGACAAAAACAAACATCTAGAGCTCTTAAATGTTCCACTGGCGCCTATTTACACTTGTTTACTCCCATCATCTGACCGACAGCAGGCTGGTGAGTGAGGGAGGAAAAGGAGATTGGTTTGAGTGTCCATAATTCCCCTGGCATATGGCTGAAGCGATTACATGGCATAAAATGGAACATGGGACACTTCATGTTCACAGGAGCTCACGGTACAGAAGCATTCATCAAAGCGTACCACCAAGGCTCTGATCTAATTGGCTGTTGGACTGTCAAGACACTTATTAGCCCCAAATTAAGCAACTGCATACAACAAATTGAATCTTGTTGCTAGTCAGCGGTGCCGTGCTACTTACTGCAACACACATACACTTTGTGCAATCAATATAGTCTGGTCACGATCAGTGGCTAAGAGCCGTGTAACAGTGTGTTCAAGAGACAAAACAGTGTGTACTGACAGAAATGCGTTCAAGGAGGAAAAGCGTGACTGATGTAGTAAAGACATATCCAGTTTAAAATATAACGGAGTACTGCTGGCATCATCTGCCTGTCATAACACTGCAAATGTCTAAGCTATTGATTACTGCTGGGAATAAGAAGCAGGCAATAAAATTTGTTTTGGTGTATCATCTGAACAAGGTGATAATGCACCAATTTCATACTGCAGCACATCTAAATGCTTTGGCGGTGTTACCGATATGGTTTCATACTATCAAATATTTGTTTGGTGTTAAATCCATCAAACAAATATTGATGTCTGCTCCATCAAGAGAATGTATGCCAATGTAAAATTGACCACCACACGAATTGGAAAACTATAACAGCTGTAATATTTTACAGGCCAAATGACCAACTTTAGCAGAAAAAAAGAGAAAGCGAAGGAGAATTTGATGTGCAATTATTTTAAACTGCATCATTAAAGCAGGTCTGTTATCTGTTTCTTTATTTTGTCATCTACATAATGTTGGCCAAAGTTTGAAATGGGATCAGCCAACAGCCCAGACTTCAGGCTGCTTTAAACTCTTAATTTCATACAGCTTTTCTGCTACTCTTTGCTATGAATGATGTCATTGACCACAGATATCTTTAATAAGGCCATCTCAGACACACGGTTCTGAGTGTGAGCGTAGATGACAAACACAGCTGCTTTTCCCATCTTCTGTCTATAAGAGGCAGCCAATCAGAACAAAGCTGACTAAAAAGGAAGAGAAAAAGACTTCAAATAGTTTGTTTCAAACAGCAAATGAAACAAACAAAGGTTAATAGGGACCATTTTGAACAATGATCATGCAAAGTTGCTATAGCTGAAACATGAAAGTCCCATTAAAAAAAACAGATCCAAGTATAACTGATATAAGTAATACTGAGGCAAAATAATTTTCTCCTCAGAAAAACTACATTATCTAGGAGGCACCAGTATACTCACCCTCTTTCTGGCTTGAGTTCTGGCTTAGTGCACCAGCCCACGACCATCTCTGCTGTCGGATTTCTGCCCACGTCTTCTTTGTTGACCTGTTGATGGCCGCCTGATACCGTTCCTGAAACAGATACCAGAACAGATATCAGTCTTTAGCATGTGAATTCATTTTAAGTCTATATGGAGGGATGGCATGTATGTCTGTGAACTGAGCAGCCTGAATCCTGTGTAGCTGATGAGTCCCTGACGAAAATCCTAAATCCCTAAATTGAAACTAGCAGCTGACCTAGTTCAGGTGCTCTCCCACAGACAGAGTGCATTGAAATTTCACCTTAAAATCTAGCAGTCATCACTTTCAAAGGTGCTGAAGCATCACATTACATGTATTGCTTTTCCAAACATACTTTGTTTTTCTCTAGTTTCTGTTTTTGTCTCTCCTCCAAGGCCGTTCGCCGCTTTTCCGCCTTGATCCGCTGCTCCTCGAGCTTCCTGCGTCGTTCCTCCAGCTGTTGCTCCCTGAGCTGCCGCGCCTTTTCCTCCTTCTCCAGCCACTGGGTCTTTTTGGCCGCTAAGAGAAGGCAGATAATATAGTCAGGAGAGAAGATATTTTCCAGTTGAGTGCTGAAAAAGTAAAGTCCTGTCTCCCTCCACTGTTCGATCAGAATAATATATAACACCCCAATTCTACTCTCTATGAGAGTCACTACTTGGCATGTTGGGAGAAAAAAAAACAATAATCCCAACATTGAAGCAATCCCAAAATCAAGCAACTCTGATGTTTTACATTACATAAAGCAGTTTTTGAAAAAGAAATGTTGCTCTTCGCATCAGACCTCTTTTTGAGTTTGGAAAAAATAAATTCAATACTGCATAAAACCAAATTAGATGGATGCAGGACTTCTGAACTGACATTTTTATGTCATCGTAATCGCATACAGCTTACACTTCAGCTTCAGTAAACCACACACTTTGATATGGAAATCACCTCTTTGTCACAGAGCCATTCAAAAACAGCGTGAAGGAGGCTTTTGCAGCTGCCTCTGTGTACACAACTCTTCGTACTTCTTTAAACTACAAACCTCCACAAACAATCGGCTTTTCAAAGAAGTAAAGCTTTGCGCCCTGAAGCACTTGATGCACCAAAATCAACTGATAGTGGATTTCAGACTAGAGTGATGGATAATTGCAGAGGCACTGGAGGCTAGGGGATCTGAAATTTATAAAAGTTATACTGAGGCCCTGCATGTCAGCATCTTGCAGAAAACACTTCTAACTGCTGCAGTGCATATATCAGAGTTCGATGGCCCCGATTTGAGACGTACCTTAACTCTACCTTCCACGGACTTAAAGCTTTAGGGAACTTTAAGTAGAGCACAGTGGAAACTGTTTTATAATTCACCTATTGTGCAGTGATGAGACGAGTAGGGGGAGGAAATAGATCCCAGCGCCTACAAATGCAGTTTTCCACATCCAGTTTTTCCTCCCTTCTCAGAAGGGAAACCTTTAGGTCACACAAGTGTTTCCACTCTTTCCATGCAAGTCAGGTCTGTGACATTTGATGGTTACGTTTTTAAATTTGATTCTCTCACAGTTGCAATGGTTCTTCAGAATATAGGTGTGGGTTGCAGGAGGAAATGAGCTGGATACTGGCTGGGGTCTTGACGGTTACAGTGTACCAGAGTGACACTGACATTCCTCAACTCTCTCCTGACAGTGATCAGCGCTGACAAGCAGCATCTAGACCTGCTACAGTATGGCCATTAAATAGTCATTGCCAAAGGGCTGCGCTAACCCTGGTACATTAAGTATTTATACCTCCTCACCAAAGATGGACAGGGTATGAGAGTAGCATCTATCTATGCAACTATAACAGAACAAATCCAATAGCAGATGAGCTCGTATATGTAGATTTTTTTTCTACTTATACCTCTGCTACTAGAAATGGTTCTGGCGATATAAGATCCCTTAAGCTGATATTGTAAACACAAGCTTTAGCAGGATCGCATCTTTTATCCCAAGCTGGCTGAGAGTATTAGATCAGACCCCTACCATCTGGCGTACCACGGTGATCACCCAATTAGACTGATCCACAGTATGAAGTCTGCTGACCTCATCTTACTGCAATCCAACACAAATTTGGATTAGACAGCAAAGCTTTACAGAAAGTACGAGTGTGACAACAACTAGCTTTAAAAAAAGAACTGCGTTGTGTGACTTTCACGCAAGTATCGCGGTGCGTACAGGCTGGGTGATATACAACTCGGCTCAGTATCTGAACACTAATTTACATATTTTCCCTTTTAAGAACATTTTGAACTTTTTTTGTCCTGTTTGGCAACAAAGTTGTTTATATATAATTTCACAGCCAAGATAAATTCGGCAGCAAACCATCAATTCATCCAGTAAGATGATTATCATGGTGGTTTTGTGGCTTGGTGTTTGTACTTTTTTTTTTTTTTTTTTAATCCAAAGAGTTTTGTGGTGACTGCTGTTAGAACGTGGATAAACAACAGTCAGTGTAAGGGCGGGCTTCTCGTCACCCACAACTTCCTGTTAAGTAACAGGGTTTTCACACATAAATGATGATTTAGTGAGTACATGATTTTTGTTTAAGTCATATTTATGATGTTCAGAGAAAGGGAGGATGAAATTTTAAATTTTTGTCACAGGAAAAGAGGAGGATTAAAACAAGAAACATGGGGATTAAATAAATGAAAAGGCTCTAGGGCTGGGTTTTATTACCAAAAGTCAATATGCAAGTTTTGTCTTTGCAGCACTTAACTTGATTTTTTTTTTTTTAAAGTGTAATTATGCTTTAAAATTTACAAAAAAGCTTTATTTTTGTTACACTATTACTGAAACAGTAGTCATTATTCTACATGCTGCTTCTCTTTATAGGCAGGATAATTGAGCTTTTGGTGCATTCCCCAGCTCTAGCTTTTACTACTGAACTTTATTAAGCTGAAACTGAATGATCAAAAGGGGTATTCATTGGCACCACCACCACCACCACCACCACAAAAACACAGGTGAGTGGCTTACCTTGCAACTTGCTGAGCTCTTCTGCAGGAGTAAAGGGTGAGAGAAAAGATAGAGGCAGCTGTCAATCATGCAAAGCAGTGCATGGCAAGTAGGCAAGTGATAATGTGAGAGCCACGTGTTAAACAAAAAGAGAGACAACTCATAGGTGCTGAGAGAGCTGTGACATTTCTTGAAAATGCATCAGTGTAAGTTGGGGCACTTTCTCGGCTTTCACAACTCGTCATAAGTTATAAAAGTTATAAAATATTCAGCCCCATCAACGTGTACGTTTTTGTCATTCGTGCAGCATTTTTGAACAATGTAATGTGTATCAGTTGAGCTAAAGCAATGATTTTGTTCATACAAAAACAATAAATAAGCGTCTTGATAGTGCTCAAGACTGTTTCAGCATGCATGCAGAAAACAGATGCTCACTTGTCTCTGGTAAAATGGTGGCTTGGCTTTTACTGATTTTGGCCCATTTTCTGTAGAAGTCCAAACTACCTTTTTATCCTCTCCAAGTGTCTGTGTGTATAATGTTGAGCATGCCTTTTGCAGCCTAAAGCCAACCCAGTAGCCAATCAACTGCTAACAACCTCCTCCACCCTAACACCAGGTGGAGCTCTCTATCCATTTAAAAGAAATGGCCTCCCACCCCTGGTTTTTACTTACCTAGATATTTCGCTTTCTCCTCTCGCCGCTCTTTTGCAAGCTTCTGCCTGTCTTCTGACTTCATGGCATCTAAGATTAGAATGAAGGCAGAAGAAAGAGGATTAATGATAGGTATCACCTTGCATCATCCAAACTGATTAAATCATCTCCAGACACTTTATATATTGGAAATTGTGGTTATTATATAGCGTTTTTCTACTCTACTTGGGGACTCAAAATGCTTTATCCAGCATGTCTTATTCTCTCTCTCTCCCTCACACACACACACACACACACACACACACACACACACACACACACACACACACACACACACACACACACACACACACACACACACACACACACACACACACACACACACACACACAGAATCATTCAGTATCTGCAGATTTCTAGCATTGCATCTCCCAGTACTTAAAATGATACCTATTTGAAACACACCTACTAAGATATCAGTTAAAGCCGACTAGTCAAGGGCACCTTTTGAAGATATAGAGAATACATCATTTAATCATAAGTTCTACAATCTTCTAAAAGCCCCACAGAAAACCACTCCATTTCAAACCATCCTCAGCTGCAAACTGACTTGAGGCATCAATGATGCATCTGACCTCATATAAATAGAAATGCAGTAAATGCCTTCTTCACTGCTATAAAGTCATTGCAGCGATGGCTTTTTAATCTCTAAATGGCTCCACAAGAAAATCCATGGCATAATGCATTGACAGGAAACTTACTGACTGACTGACTAATATCACAATTTCAACACTAATGCACAACCTAGGGCTACAGATAATGTGTATTCTATTATCTAGATTAAGATACAACAGGAAAAAATTAAGAAAATTCTGCCAGCAAGCCAATCCCATCAAAATAGAAGCAGTAGCATGTGGCAAATACCAGAAATCTCGTAGTGTGGGTGACTTGAATATGTTATAACTAAATTATATAAACATAGCTTTCTGACACAGTAATTTAAATTTTGGGCATGTCTAGTGAAAAATGCTCAAACAAGCCAAAGGCACACTTTGTCTTGGTATGTGAGCCTAAGAATATATCAATAAAGATCATTTACAACTAACAAAAACAGTCAGTGGAACAGTGTGTTGAGATGTGGTTGGTAACCCATATTAAATTAACACTTATAGTTGATGTTAAAACAGATTTAAATTGGGGAAAGGTTAATTATTTTTTTCTGTAATTGCATGTTTTTTTCTCAACAGTATGTATGCAACTCATTTCTGCAGACTTACTCCAAATGAATTACTGTGAAATACCATTTCTACCACAACCAACATACCCTAGTACCACCCACTGAGAACAGTGACACGGAAGGCATTCTTGAGCCTTTAGTCTACATCATCCTCCTCGATCTTTACGGTCCAGATGTTCAGCATCAATCACAAAGGAAATCACTCCTCAGCAACATCGAATAGGGGGAGGTGTGAATCATGAAGACGAAAACAATCTGCCATGCAGCCTCCCCTAAGAACAACTCCTGACCTACATTGATATTTATAGTAGGTTGGAAATGCCATGTGCGTGGCCTTGGTAAGTGTTACTTGCTGATGTTCGCAACTCACCACCATGTTAATCATAAAGTCAAATGTACAAGGTGTCCAAGAGGAAAACAGACTGGCCTAGAAAATACTACGAGGTGCGGCATCTGAGTTTCAGACTGTTCACGCTTGCTCTTAAAATGTCAGTTCTGTTATTTCTTTGGCTCCGATCTTTACAAATGGAGCAGCACAGGATATACGGATTACTGGGGTAGTAGTCAGGATGCAAGAAAATGAGCATGCTTAAGAGACTTTCACTAAGATAACAATTTGGCCTTTGCCACCATTAACATCTGGCATAATCACAACACTGAAACAAACATTGCAAGAAGCGACGCAACCAGAATCTTTTGGACAGAAGTCAGACTGAACCGTCTAGCAAAACTGTTTAAACAGCAAAGGCAGTTTCCTTAAAGAGTCATTTGCATGATAGCTGTGTGTAAGGTGCACACCTTACATAAAGTTTGGAGACCCAGGACAGGGCAAACTTTGGCAAATAAACCAAGAACTCTCAATGAGGTATCCAGCTGTGCAGTATTTTCTAAGATTGGGAGACACCTGGAACTTGTGGGGGTGTAGTCCTGTCACTTTACTCTAAGAGAATAAAGATCATGACCACAGTAAAATGTTATTAGCTGAAAAATAAAAAGAAATAAGGTTGGGGTTTTTGTTTTTTTTTTAAGAGAAAGGCACTTCTTGTACAGAGTCCTAGTGGAACAACTACAGTGCAAACGGCACGTAAACCTCAATGCCTTCTTGGAAAAACTCTTTGAAATGGAAATTTCAATATAGGTTCCATCTGCAGACCGTTCATTGGAGATTAGTGCATAGCAGTGATCACCAATAGCTATCCACTTACCAAAAGCTAATTTGTTCATATTCTGCAGGCTAAGCTGTTCTCACATAACATAACATCCTGTGCAGCGACTGTTCCAACACATAAAGATAACCTGCAGCAGCACTATTGGATTTTGCTTTGTGTCTGAAAGCCTGTGGTCACTGTGACTCCAATACTGGCCAAAGAGAGTTGAGTTCACTCCAACTTAATGCAAAAGTGTAATTATACCATTACCAGTCAGCCAAATTCAGCCTCCATTAATTTTAAGCAGCTAAATGCTATCTAAGGAACACCTCAAAAGATAAAATCTTTCATTTTTGCTCACCTCGTTTTGACTTGAGGGCTGGTGATGCTGGTGACGCAGGTGATCGAGAGATAATGTCAGATTTTGAAGGGGTCGTCCGTCTTCGGTCTGTATCTTTCTTAGCTGGAGAATCCATCCTCTCGGTGTTGTCCGTCTTCAAAGGACTGCTTTCCCCCTCTGGATCAGGTCTCACAGGGTTTGTGTTTAGAACTGGGCAGGGAGCTGGTGGAACAGAAAAATACAAAATAAATTTAAGTTAGTAAATGAAGAGCCAAAAGGTAACAGGAATCCGTAACTCAACCTGTTTATCTTCATTCCATGTACTACTGAGCCTACGAAGTAGTTCAGTGTGCATGATGTAAATTTCTTGAAGTGTGAGGTGGAGCCGACTGATGGGAGAGGATCTTTAAGAACAACATTCTCACCACCGAAAGAAAATAATCCAACTGAACACTGCAAAAGTAATGAGTGAGATGTCTCTGTTTCTGTACAAAATTCTTCCAAAGACTGAAAAATATTATCAATTGCAGAGATTGCACCATTTGTCAAGAAGCACGAGATGATAAGTCCAAAGCCTCCTTTTCTGTCTCTACACATAATAGCATTTCTACTGTGCTACCGATTTATTGACAGACTGGCCTGTACAAATAGCCTGAGTCTCTGGCAGAGCAAAACACTGTAATTGCTTTTTGGCATCCTGACGATTCTATTGAGTCACTGGAAAACAAAATCAGAGTAATCATCTATCCAAAAATGGTTAAACTTCCTGTTTTTAATGAAAACGACTCAGGAGCACACAGTTTAGGTTCAGCAGTCATCTGTAGATTTTTTTTTTTTGGGGAAGGGGGCTGGGGTGGCCTTTTAGGGCGGCAGCTTCACTAATAGCACTATGACTCACATTTGGCAGGCTGCTGAACTTGAATCTCTAACTCAAACATTAGTTTGCCCAGGCTTTGACGGTCAAACAAAGATCCTCATGGCAGGGACACTTGGCTTTGTCCACTCAGCACTGTATCCCTGCACTCCCCGTGGAACCATGTTGGGGAACAGTGTTTTCTGTATAGTGTCTGAAGGTACACACTGGGGCAACATGCTGTAAATTATTCAGACTTATCCAAAAACAGCACAGACAGTTGGGGGCTGTCACACAAAGACAGTGAGTGCGCTGAAGATTTACTATAGAAATGCTGTGCTGTTCAACAGTTTGCACAGAAAAGGAACAATCAGCAGCGAGGCCAATTCTGTGCAGCTTCAAAGGGAATTGATCAATTTTTGTGTAAACTGTACAGTGTGCCTCTTAAGCCTTAAACGGACTGTGGAACTCAATGCGCGCACACACACACGTCTGTACGTCTGCTGCCTTGTCCATAAAAACCTGAAAACAGTCTGTATGGATGAGTGTCATCCAAGAGCGTTGGTCAACCTTCAACTACTGCAACTGCAGACACTTGGTAGAATTCAAAAAGTAATAAAGACATGGGGCAGAGGTTGTCTGAACTCTGCTTGGCACATAGGCTATGTAAGCAATCTGGGAAATGAAGCCTGTTGCTGATGAACCTGAACTGCACAAAGGCTGACAGGCAGTAAGAGTCTATGAAAGAGTTCAGCTGGGAGACAAGACAATGCAATTTCATTGTCAGAGCATGCCACTATTAAATAAGCATTCCTCGGGCAGTGATGTGCTGTGACAGAGAGGGGCCATTGTTGTGGTCTCTGCATAGCAACGGGACAGCAGCCAAAACACTGCAATGACAGTGAGAGCGGAAAGGAAGAGGGGGATAGTGGTGAGATAGGCGGAACGTAGACGATGAGCACTAAAATCTGTTCGGTGCAAGCCTGCGTAAAAAAGGAAATTACGCAATGTAATACAACAAGAAGGGATATTTTTACTGGATTTGGTCAGGTTAAATCATTCAGATTATGTCTTTGCACAGAAAACTATTCTTGTGATTTAGTAATCAAACCCTGCTACATTTTTTTGCTACACAGAACCTCAGGTGTTGCACCACTGTGAAGTCTCAGGTGATGACGTGAAGTCTCAGGTGATGACTCACACAAACCTTATCTTGGAATTTATCATCTGGCCCTTTTTTCTCACACATCCCAGAGGGCAGATATGACAGCTAGACTACCAAACGTGGCAGGAGCTGGTACAGCTCTAACATTATACTCTGTGAGCACTTTTCCATACACCTGGGAACTGGAACCACAAAGAACTAACTTGTAGGACTGTGTTTAGCTGGTGACAAGGTTACTGTACTGTACATTGGCAATGCTGAAGAGAGTGAGAACATAGAATACTCTGTTGTGTAGGTGGTAGTGACAACGAATAGGAATGAAACCTGAGGTAGAAAAACTGGATGGGAGTTGAGGGAGAGGACTGCTGCTGTGTATCAAGAGACTGAAACAAGGGTTGATTGATACAGCGCTCCTTCTGTACATAGTTTTTGTAGCCCTGCCATTTCTTCTTTGAACCCCATTTGTTCAGTTTTCTCAAATTTAAGGATACTGCACTCTCTGTCAAGATATGTGAAATTTGTGGCTAATAGCTCTTGGGAATCATCTTAATAGTGCAAAAATGCTATTTTATCCCCATCACACCATTTTTTGTACATTCAAATAAAGAAATGGAAACAAATTATGTGTTTTTGTCAAAGGGTGGTAGTTGTAATTGGTGTACACCCAACACTGCTTCATCCCTTGAGTTGGGTGCCTTTTTATGCTTGAATGATTGAGTCAGTAAAGCTAACTCACAAAGTAAAGCTGCATATTTGATTTGGTAGATTTTTATGCTGCATGTCCTCCCTTATGCAACCCCCAAGATATTCATCTCTCCGTCTGGGATCGAACCATGGGGTTTTTTGGGGGTTTTTTTGCAAGGACTGGCCTGAAAATTTGTAAAAATAAAAAAATAAAAAATAAAAAGCAGCCTATGTCCAAAGAAAACTTTAAAGGTTTTTCAGAAAGCTTGAGTAAGTATTGCTCAAGGGCACTGAACAGATAACAAGAAACCTTGGCTTCTTGGAAATAAAATATATAGAAATGAGGGTTAACAGAGTTTTGCACCGTACTGTATATGTCGATGGTTCTGTACTAATTCACTCTGTCAAAACTGCATATAAACACAGGGGACACAAAGCCAGGAACCAAGGATGCACACAATGAATTGTGAAGCGGTGCACAGAGTGTCGGCACAAGTTTGTTCACAAGTATCCTCCACTTATCACCTTCAACATAAAAATGTCAAAGACGTCTGCTAAGTTAGTAGTTACGTATTTGCTCTAATTTACGGACTATTGCATGTCTTTAGCTGACAGTAATGGGTGCCGGTACATTTGGAAAGCTGTCCATGCAGTGACCCCTAAAAGCAAACACGACGGGGACACACTAATGTGGTGCTTTGAACAGGATGCTTGAGTAATATTTGCACAGATGAGCTAAATGCAATGACGAAACGCATGGCACTAATCTAATTCTGCGGTTTACGAATTCGGTGTTGTAAATGTTCTGAAACTGGCTTGAGCGAAGCTAATGAAATTATCTAGCTCTTGCACAATGAAATGTTCTCATTTGGAGCATTTATATGTGAAATCATTGCCAAAAGACAATTATCCACTTAATTCTATTACATTATGACTCACGTCATGGTGTCTTCAGAACTGTTATTTCGAAGAGGCGACATAGGTAAATGTGCCTTTTTTTTTTTTACTTTTCAACGGCAAATGTTGAGATAAGGATGTCTTAAAAAGAAAAATAAATAAAATACAAAGTTGTGTTTAATGGCCAAATCATTGCATTAGGGCTGCTCGATTATGGCAAAAATGATAATCACGATTATTTTCACTGAAATTGAGATCGCGATTATTTGACGATATTTATTTAACCCTTTAAGACCTACTATAGAACCAAGTCCGCCAGAGCTTATATTATTTTTTTTACATGTTGTAGTGCCATTTGTGGGAGCATTTCAAGTTGCTAAATAACTGTTATAGCCCATATTTTAATAATATGTATGCATTAAGTCCATAGTAACTACATTAATTGCAAAAAAGTGCAATAAACTACAAAAAAATTTATATTGTTTTTGTTTTGTTTTTTTACATATATTTCTACTTGGAGAAATTTAAGAGGTTTATCCCTCAAAACTTTAAATACAAAAAAGTTGCAAAAAATAGTTTACAACAACAGGAAATTTATTTTGAGTGTCTTCATAGTTTTATTTTGGAGATATACCAATTTTTATATACTGCAGGAAAAACAAAAAAAACAATCCTATGATGCAAATTTGCAAAGAAAACAGCAGGTGCATCAAAATAAACTATTTCCAGCAGTGCAATTTGAGTTCTAAGCATCCCAGAAACTATTCAGAAAAGTCAAACATGACCAGTATAGGCTTTTAAGGCCTACAAGTAAAAAACTACATTTCCGCGAAAATGACGTCACTTCCGGTTTCGGCCAGGAAATGGCGGACATGCGACAGTTCGTGCTGACATCTGTTTCACTGTGGGAAGTGTTACGAACAGCTGATCGGATCGGCAAAGCCTGTTTCTGGAATATTATGTTTTTGTTCCTGCAAGCGCTTTTTATGCAATTTTTGCAAAGCTTTATGTGGAACGAAACCGTGACCGAGGACAAGCTGATGGCATAAGATGTAAGTACAACTCCTCCGGTTTCATATGCAAAACAAATTATTGCGCTAGCTTACGCAGTTCAGGTTCTACAGGGATTTAAAAATAGTTACACAAAACGGAGCATGCTGCTCTGACCGGATTTAAAGGGTTAACAATGACTTTAGAAAATAATATAAAATAGTGTGCAACACCACTGAAGTTTTTTTTTTTTTTTACCTCTCTTTTCAACCAACAGCAGTCACTCTCCTCTCCAAATAACTTCTGCTTAGCTTTCCGAGCTTCCCTCGGGTCCTCTTAATCAGCGGTCTCCAACCTTTTTTGCGCCACGGACCGGTTTATGCCCGACAATATTTTCACGGACCGGCCTTTAAGGTGTCGCGGATAAATGAGGGAGGGGCTAATAATCGGCTCTGTCATTTTTAATGATCGTTGAAAGCCCAGATCGTAATCGTGATTAAAATTCGATTAATTGAGCAGCCCTACATTGCATTTCATATTTACTTCCATTTTAAACATCTTCCCAACTTTTTGGGGGACAATAACAGAGAGACTCTACCACCTAAGGTTGTTCTTAATTAACCTATAACTACA